AAAATAATTTGGTCACAAAATCCGACAGTTTGATGACCTGTGCGTATTCTTTTTACTGATCCCTGTGCGTAATCTGCGCGGAGCGTGTTAGCATTAGCATTAGCGCTAGCAGCGTCCCTCAGTTGCTAGGCGACAGGGGAGCGGCTCCGAGGTCTAGACCTAATAGATCCATGGTCTAGACCTGTTCCATTTCCAACGGCAAGGTATTTTAATAGATCCATGATTGAGCCACGCTGCGTACGGCACACCGCGAGGGACAAAATACATGCGCTTTCTCCATTGGGATATACGCGCGCGCCATCTGTAGGACGGGAGGGAAAGGAAACCTTCAAAAGCTGTAACATATAATATATACTATATATATATGACATATTATGTCATACATGTCATACGTTTTGTCTTTTTTGTGTTCGATGTTAAGTGGAGGTGAGTAAAGTCATGCTGGAGCATTGTGAAAGTGTTTTGGAGCAGAGAGAATCTAGTATTAAGACAAGTACTGTGCGCATAAAGGATATAGTGTCACTGTGTATAAATGTACATGACATTGTTCTGTGACTTGTGTGATATTGTTAACATAGATATTCAACAGGATGGAGCAAGAATAGATCCTGGGGCAAACCTTTAAGGAGAGGTAGAGATTTTGAGAGGAGGCGCTTCACTCTCACTGACTGTACGTACCCAGAGGCTCAAGTGTTTTCTAAAAACAGTAGCACAGAATCCTAGCAGCCCTCATCTGTAGTTTATTCAGTCTCTGTCTACAGACTGGAGTTTTCCCACAGGACTGGAGTCTACTGTGGTCATCCCTTTATTTAAAACGACTTCCCACAGCTCCAGTTCACTGCCTCATCTTTAAATATTGATTCATTTTAGCACTCAGCAAAAACCTCTAGATCCCACTTGGACAGGAAGCAGTGATGCTGACGTTGTACAATATGTCAATAAATCATATGTCAAATAAAAGTTTGAATATGTCAGATGTTACAACATCTGTTGCTGCAGACGCACTTTTCCTTTGAATCACTGAAGAAACGGTTAGTGCAAATGTCACACGCAGACTTCTCAAAAACAAGACAGTTGAGCCATAAAACCTTGTCACCAAATAAAACAGATGTTTTTTTGTGTGTTCTTAACTATTTGGACAAAATATAAATGTTATGGACTATGTCCTGCTGTCCTGTGCATCCAGATCCACCCACCAGAGGATGAGCTGCCCCTGATCAGCCTGTGATCAGCTGGAGATAAAAGCCTGGAGCCTCCAGACCAGCGCCCAGCGGCTCCTCCACTGCACTGACCTTAACTCACCTTGGTTTATTTTTGTATTAACCACTGATTTGAATTGTACACATCAAGAGAGTTCTGTGACAGACAGGAGAGCCTCAGAGAGCTGTGGTGTTTGTCATGCATGTGCTGTGTAAATGCACCTTGGCCAAAAGTGTTTGGAACCTTAGTTGACCTTGACCAGTTTATTTATTTATTGTAATTATTATTATTTATTGTTGTATTAACCAGTTATTTGAATTGTACAACACTTTTCAGTATCTTTTTGTATTTCTGCTGTTTTTGTTCTATGTTCGGTTTCTAACATCTCTCCGGTTACTGTGCGTCTCCCCTGCACCATGGGACATATCTCTGCAGTTACTGCCTTTTTCCTTTGGGGGCAGTATAGATTACACATGTTTTGACAGGGAAAAAAGTCAAAGTAACTTGGGAGAGTAAGTGTAATCTAATTACTCACTTTTCTATTGTAACTAGTTACTAAAGCAGCTTGATTACAGTAATCCCTTACTTTGTAGTTACTGTCATAAAAAGTCAGTTGTGAAGTACATTGTGTGGAACAGGTTCTAGGTTTGTGTGGTTTCTCACCAACACCTTGCCTCTGAACTGTTACAGAAGTGGAATGTCGTCTTCATTTCAGTCTTGTTAAACTCCTGGAGGAAACATTTCTGTATAAAGCTACAATAGATTCTATTTCTGTAACAATAATTCACACTGGATTTTTTCAGTGTTTCAGTTTTGTATCAGCCTGAAATCATGTGCAAATCATGACACACACACAACAGCTCTTTAAAGATGTATTTGTCTTATCTGTGATGAAAATGGCTTCTATCCAAATGTGATTATTTTGTGTTTAAACTCCCAGGGGACAGAGTGCAGGTAACAGGTGTCCACGTTCCCACTGACATAAGCAGTGTGGACAGTCCTGTTTGTCACATGAGACCTCAGTCTATCATAAAAAATCAACACAATCTTTACATTCTCAGAAAAAAATAAAAAATGCCAGTTTATTCTAAAATGCTAAATTTACTTGTATCTCTTTGGTTTATTTCATTTTTGGGCAGTGTTTTGATTCTTAAGCCTGTAAGTAGTGGAAGTTGTGAGCATGCTCAGTAGACACAGGTCCACCCACACTACTATAAAATGCAGTAGAATTAAAATACTCTGTCTCACTTTTACTCCACTGGGACACAATCATGAAGTTCATCCTTGCTCTGGTATTTTGGGTGGCTCTCTTCAGTCAGGGCTACACCAGTAAGTCTCTTATTATATTGATTTAATGCAAAAAGAATCATGTTTTTTTAATATTATAGTTTAAATAGAAATGCTCTGACTTCACATATTCCATTGAAAAGTCAGTTCATGGGTTTTCTTCTTCTCCTTCTCTTTTTCTTATATGATTTTTATGACTTTTCGTATTTAAAAAAATCTAATATTTCTTTTTTAAATTGTTGATTGCTACAGCTACAGTCATAATTTTTCATAATTCTGAAATATATATATAGATATAAGTAGTTTTAATTGCTGCTTTAAGATGCCATTCACAACATTATAGGCTAATATTATAAAATGCAGAATGGAGATTTTGATTTTTAAATATAATTTCATGTAATTAAAAAAGAGGTTACAATGAATGATTTGTCCATTTCTTGTGTAGTTATTTCTGTTTGATGTAGTGTGATTGAAATAAATGGAAAACGTCAGTTAGACACTCCTTATTCTAATAATTTCTCTATCCAGGGCAGGACCGAGGCATGACCCGACCTGTAAAGCAAAACATGCGTTTTCAGACATGTATTTATATCCATTTGCTGTTATTGTATTGTCACTTGATTTGTTATAAAAATGTTTTTCTTGATGATGTAACATGTGAGAAAACCTGGTGACGGAAGTTCAGTTGGTAAGAGCGTTTGTTCACTAATCAGACATTCCAGCTTCCCACAGATGAATGATTTTGTTGTGTCCTTGGCCAAGACACTGGTGTTTACATGATCACTATTTAGACTCAATAGGTAACTTGTTGATGCTGTTAAAATAAATTCAAGAACTAACCTAATAACTAATATTGAATGTTTACACAGTAATGACCGGTTTATTAATAATAGTTAATAGGACGCATATAAAACTATGGACATGTGATTAACAATAACATCACACTAATAATTACAAAAAAATAAAATAAAAATCACTTTAGATTATTTCAGAGTTCTCACTCTTTCACTGACAAAATTTCAACACTTTTCCATAACTTTTTCATGAGCTAAAGTGAATTTTCCATCTACATGTGTAGAACTGATCAGACTTTTAGGGCTAAATATGAAATGTTAACTTATGGTTTTGGATTATAGTTTTTTGAACATTCAAAATCCTGTCAGTGCATTTATTGTCGCCTCTTTTTTTAAAAAAAGGTGCAGACGTTCACAAATAATCAGAAGAGCCTCATGAGAACTTAACAGAAAACTGGAGTTGTGTGAAAGAGATAATAAAATTACATGATTTTTTCCAAAACTTTCATTGAATTTACAAAATTTCATGACTTTTCCAGGTCTGGAAAATTACATTTTAAATTTTCATGACTTTTCCAGGATTTCCATGACCTTAGGAACCCTGTTATTTGTACAGACAGAGAAGGCATTGGACTTGTGCCAGTGTTTGTTTAATGTGGATAGGTCCTGTATGACAGAGATATGAGCCATAAACCAGATCAACAAATCTGCATCTACAGTTACACAGCAAACTCCACCTGACGAGCCCGTCTCTGTCCACAGGAGGCTGGAATATGAGACAGAGAGAGTAACTTTATTTATTTTATACATTTCACCAGGAGTTGCTGCTGACAGAGAGTGTTTGGTGGAGCAGAGAGGCCGTTGGTGTAGATCAGCAGCCTCCTCTCCCTCAGATTGCCTTGAGGCAGCTGTGTGACTGTGCTGTTGTTGTCGCAGATTCCCTGGACTCCTGCGTGGGGCGCTGTGACTATGGCACAGACAGTGACTTCACCTGTCAGTGTAACACGGCATGTGAGAGGTTTGGAGAGACTGCTGCTTCGACTACAGTCAAATCTGTAAATGTAAGACTCTCGTTCAGAGTTCATGTTTGAATGTGTAAAACTGGGTTCATCAGCACATTATACAGACCCAGCACTGAGTGCACAAGAGGACAGGTGGCTTTTTCCAACTTTCTATTTGATCTTCTAACTTTTTGTTTAAGTCAATTTTGTTAAGTCCTGTGATTTTGGGCTAGAGCAGACCTGGCTATTGTCCAGCTCTCAGGTCACATATGGACCTTTGTTTGACTCTGACCGGTCTGTTTAAGCTCATTTGGAATTATAAAATAAATGATAAATAATAATATTTTATCATTTTCCCTCATGCATGGACTAAAGCTGCATTGTTTTTATTTTAGAGGTGACATTTTTTTGTAAGACAACCTCACTTTTTCATTGCTTAGTCATGACATAAGCTCTTCCCAGTGTGATCAGCTCATAAGAACAATGCAATTTACTGCTTTTTATAAAATAAATAAATAAAAATACAGTTCATATGATGCAGAATTAAGTGAAGCATTTTGGCCTCCACAATATTTTGTTTCTCATGTGGTCCCATGGAAAAAAATATTTGCCCGCCCCTGACCTCGACAAAGATTTGTTGAACTGAATTCAAAATGAAACGATCTATAAGAAACAGGGGGCAACACTTGTGCTGCTGTTGTGTGTTCACACACATTGCCGTGTATTAAAGTGTGTGTGTGTGTGTGTGTGTGTGAGTGAGGACTGGTTGTAATTGCAGATGGTGATGCATTGCCTCTGTCAGTCTGCCCCAGGGCAGCTATGGCTACAGTAGTCACTTTGCATTACCAAGTGTCGAATAAAGGAAAAACTGCAATGTGAACCACTTTGAATGTCCTGAAAGCTTGAATGTTGTTCTGTTTTACTGCTGTGACATCCTTGTTATATTTCAGAGTGCTGCTGGTGCACTGTTTGAAGATTCTATTCAAATTCTATTCTTAGTACTGGTTGTAGTACCAGCAGTGATCATTTTAGAGCAGCATTTAACAGCAGCACAGTACAGTGACAGTTAGTAGTAGTATAGTGTTAGTAGTAAGTGTTAATCACTCTAAATATTTGACAGCCACAGAGCTGTATGTGACTGTGTGGACCTGACATGAGTGTGTTTCTCTGCAGCCTCGTTCTCCTGTAAGAGTCGCTGTGGTGAAGCCTACAACTCTCAGAATGAATGTCACTGTAACTCCAAGTGCAGCCAGTACGACAACTGCTGCTCCGACTACAATGATGTGTGTAAGTCACTAAACACACACACATACACACATACACACATACACACAACTGCTGCTCCAACTACAAAGATGTATGTAAGTTACTATGCGCACACACACACAAACCTGCTGCACCAACAACAATGATGTGTGTAAGTCACTACACACACACACGCACACATACACGCACACGCACACACACACACACACACACACACACACACACACACACACACACACACACACACACACACACACACACACACACACACACACACACACATACACACATAAAGGTAGAGTAGCAGAACATTTTACTCAGTAGTGATCCAAAAAATTACTTAACTAGAAATGAAAAAGTATCAGGGAAAACTATTACTCATGTAAGAGTAACATAAAGAATAACTGTAAGGAATTAACATCTGATTTATAATTTGAAGTGAATGTAAAGGGAAGACAAAACATGAAATAAGTCACAAAATCTGGTATTTTCAAAGGACAGACACAAAACTAAGTCATACCTGAAGGAGAAGAAACACAAATATTCAAATCATTTCAAATTGCTGTTGAGGAAAACAACCTTTTTCTCTCATGTTGGTTAGTTTCTGCTTAGATTAAAAACAAACAAACACTTGAAACAGAAATAAAGTTCAGATAATTTACTTATTCCAGTATTAGAAAGTCGTACTTGTACAATGAGTCTGTGCTGACATTCCCATGCACAGACTCAGTGTTTCACGCCGATACAATGATTTTATACACAAACTGTCGTGCGAGGCTTCCGTAGTTTAGACTCAGCGCCTCTTCTTTAGTTAGGTCTCTTGGCACTTTGCACAGTCCAATCACACTCTAGCCAGGGTATTATCTGGCTAACAAGTCATGACATCATCCCTATCAGTAGTTCTTGTCCTAATTAGTTAGTTTGCTATTAGATAGATTGGAATATCCTGCATTTGTCTTGACATAAATCTACGAGTCTTACAGCTCGATACAATCATGAACTATAGAGGTGATTATACAAAACAGCTAAGCCTAGTTATTTATCCTAACATTGCCACCATAAAGCTTTAACTTTACACTTCTAAAAATATTACTTAACTAGGAATAAAAGTATGCAGCTAGAAAAGTACAACTCACGCCTGCACACACACATAGTACTGTACTATACCATCATTTCAAACTTGATTTCAGTACCAAGAAATAGATTCAGTACTTTGATACTGATTCCAATACCACAATGATATTAAAACACACTCTTTCTTTAGACAATAGAATGTGATTTTCAGTATTAAATGATAGTAATTTTTTTTCTATTCCATGTGTTTTATATGTGTGTAATGGTCAGTGGTGCAGTAGGTTCATGTTGGTCCATGTGTGTACTAGTCTATGTGCTCTGACACTTGTTCTGATCCAGCTCAAGATCCTTCTGAAGATATTCAGAAAAGGTGCTGTTCTGTTCTGTTCTGTCAATGGGACTTATTTAGTATCAGTACCTGTCTAGTTTCAGTATTATTTTTAGTATGTATCAGTAACAGATTTTTGATACTTTTAACAACATTAACACACATTAACAGTATCACACCTGTCAGATTCTCATGCGCGGCAGTGTTCTTATCGCACCTGCACAAATTCACAAAGAGGAACAGAAAGGAGACACGTGAAGCTATTTTTATTATTCTGTGTAAAACCAATAGACACAGGTGCACCGAGAAATATACAGGATTTCACAATGAGGAGAAATTAAGACCTTTGCCATAGCATCAGTTTAAAACAAAATGTCATATTTTCTGAATGGGAAAAAGTCCTCAAAGCAGGAATAAGAGGAAACTGCAGCCCCTCAAGAGTCCACACTGAGTCTAAGGAAAATGTAGGAAATGTAGGAATGAATAATAGATTTGGTTTATTGAAACTCATCCTTGAGTTCATTTTGGCTGCTCTAAACACTTCTTCTGTCATTTGAGTTGTTCTCTCAAACAAAAACACTCCAAAATCACCACATTCCACCTTGTGATGTCATGTGGTATTACAAGAAGTGCTCCACTCTGTTTTTAAACTCCATACACCTGCACTAGAATCATCTGGATCATTTCAGCCCTGGAATTGCCAATCAGCGAACTAAAGGTAAAAGGAGCTGAACTTGAAAACTACCACTACATGACATCACAAGGTGGAACAGAGTATTTTGAGCTTTGAGGTGGAACAATAGTTTAATATGTGTTTCTTGTACAGGTGGTGTAATAGTTTAAAGTGTGTGTCTCTCACAGGTGGTTTAATAGTTTAAAGTGTGTGTCTCTCACAGGTGGTTTAATAGTTTAAAGTGTGTGTCTCTCACAGGTGGAGCATCGGGCAGTTCTGTCACTGACGCTGAAATTAAGTCTGTGTCTGAGGCTCTTTATGCTCTGGACTCAAACAAAGCGTCAGGATCTCAGCTCATCATCGACCCTCAAACCCTGATCTCCAACTCCCAGACGGGCGCTCAGACCGACTACTCCTCCAAACCGTGAGACACAAACACACTGTGGTTTAAAGGAGCTGTGCTCTTACTTTTTAAAAGATTTTACAATCACAACTGAGACTGTGTGTCCAGATCCTTCACCTGCAGATAGAGACACATCCAAGTGTGTCTCATTCTCAGTGTAAAGACAGACCAGGCTTCATGTGAAGCTCAGAACCTCCAGAATTCCCTCCTTGAGCTGCAGAAGCTGCACTAGCACTGACTCATCACTGGTGCAGGTGCTGGGGTTTAGGGAGAGACCATTCAGATCAGAGAGAAGCATTTTAGGTTTAAACACACTGGATTTCAGCTTTGAAACTGAGAGAGTCATGTCATTCTGCTTTTTGATTGAATAACCGTCTTGAACCATCTTGTCCATCCAGTGTTTTTGTAATGAAGGATAAATCAGTGTTACATGTGTTATAAGTCAAAATTGTATTTAATGTGAACATGTTTCCTTGTATTTTAGGGGCACAGTTGACACAGATCTGTTTATTGAATTTAAAATCTAAATCCTGCACAATTTTTACAACATGGGGCTGGAGGACAGGAGGTCAGAATAACATTTTAAGTGTGTCCTGTTTGAAGAAAAACATTGTAATCTGTTGTCTTTATTTATTGTCCTCTTTTTGGTAACACTGGATTGGCCTTTTTTCAAACACTCATCCATTGCCCATTTGAATCTAAACGTATGTTATGTTTAACCCACATCGTGTTCTGCTTTACTTGGATTTTTGACATTTATTCAGAGAAATATTTACTTGTCAATTACACAATGACCCAAAATGAGTCTAATAATGTTTATAGTTTCATAAATGTGTTTATCTTCTAGTCTGTTCCGTTACCTGGACGAGGGCGCTCTCTTCTCCAGACCCACTTACGCCGCCCTGCTGGCCGTGTTGGATAACTACAGGAGGATGACGGGGCAGACGGAGAGCTTCACCCAGCAGCAGCTTCAGGAGCAGGATCGCTTTGTGAGAGAGACCATGTCCAACACCGCAGTGGGCAGGGAGCTCTTCAGTTTCCTCCGCAGTAAAGGTAACAAATTTTAAAATACATTTCAATTTATTCTAATTCAGACTTGGTTTGTGGTCAGTATTTATCATAGTTTTGAGTGACAGTTTGTGGAAAAACTTGGGAATTAAAGTGCAGAAGCAGTAAATCTGAATTCCTCTGCCGAAGTCATCAACCCTGAAAACTTCATCCAGAATGTACTGACAGTTTAGACAGACAAATTATAGTAAAGCATTGACTAGTCGTATGGTGTGTGGAACAAACGACTTCCAGAGTGTGAGCAGGATGGGAACAACAGCCTGTCCCCAAAGGTGCTCTCCTGTCCGGTGATGGTGCTGTGGGTTCTCTTAGATGGACTGGAGCTTGTTTAGGCCTCTCTTCTCCTTCGTCAAGCTCTGCTCCACTACAGATCCTGCCTTCCTCAGCAGCTTATCCAACTGCACGTCGTCCTTGTCCCTCAGGCTTCCTCCCCAGCAGATCAGAGTGTTGAAGAGGACACTGCAGATGAGTGTCTAGTAGAAGATCAGCAGGAGCTTCTGGCAGATGTTAAAGGACTTCAGCCTCCTGAGAAAGTACAGCCTGCTCTGTCTCTTTCTGTAGAGCAGGTCTGTGCTTTCAGATGAGCCAGTCTGTGGTGGAGGTGTGCACAAACAGAGCATTTTTATCACAGTTTAGACACTTTTTTGTAAAGATTTTGCCATTTATTTTTATTAGTCTGTTGTGGCTTTATGGTTTGGCAGTGTGATTATTATAGGTAACAGAACTGGTAACACCTGCATGTATGTCATTTAACCCTCTCAGGCCCAAATTAAATTTTAGTAACAGGAAAAAATCTGATATTTGGGGAAAATGATCATATGGGGTAGTAATATACAATCCTGACTTTTTTTGAGAGAGACCTTCACATCCAATGTGTTCTGAGATATTGCAGATTTGCAGCATTGGTCCCATGTGGTAAATTAACACTGAAGACTGAAAATGATATGAACACTAACTTTATGTGTTCACCACTTTTCATAACAATGAAAACATAAAGCACAGTGTAACAGCTTTACAGTGGCAGAACAACATCACTTTTTCGTGTGGTGCTCCAAGAAACAATTTTTATCCTAAGTACTTTGCACTTCTGGCAGGCCGTTCGTGTGTAGCCATTCTTGCACAGTCTGCATCGTTCACGTTTATCAGCATGGATGGGAAAAAAGGCTCCTGAATAAAAAAAGCTAATAAAATATGGATTTGGAGTACGTAGGTAATTAGCATTTAGCTGTTGCAAATCTGCAACGCCTGCCTGGAGAGGGATAATAAGTAAAAAACAAAAACTAATATTTATTAATGTTTTTAGTAAAATCTGAAATATAATCATGTAAGTTTTTGTGAAAAAGTACTCTGCTGTAGCTGCTGACAAAAAGGACTACATATAATGTGAACCATGATTACTAATACTGAAAACTGTACTCCCTGGTTGGAATCATGACATCCTTCTGTGAATTCCATAACTGTTATCTAACAACCATATTGTACAATTCAGGCCAAAATGCCTTTAATATGTACAGAGGTTATGATTTGACAAATATAATATAAGAAATATAAGAAAACACTTGTGTACTTGTGTAAATTGTGCCAAACATTTGCAAAGTAAAACAAAAATAAAGCATTTACTAACATTTTTTGTAAAATATCATCATGTTGCAGTTGTTGTGAAAAAGTCGTCTAACCTGTCATAGGTGTTGACTAAAAGAACTATACAGTACACATGTGTGAACCAGGATTATTACTACTGAACCAGATTAGACCAAGTGCATCAACAATAGACTATTTATTAGCTTTAAAAAAAAGTTCAACTCTTAACCTTGCCCATATAATTTCTGTTCATTTTGGTGGGTTAAAGATAGAGATGATGTTATGAAACATTTCAATGTCATGATATTTTTCTGGGAGGTGTGATGTTAAAATCTCTGTCCTTGTGTTTTTCAGGCATCTACTCTTCAGAGGAGGAGTTCATTGAGGACCTGAAGAAAATGTGGTTTGGACTTTACTCTCGCAGCAGCGGAGCCATGGACTCCAGCGGCTTCGAGCACATCTTTGCGGGTTTGGACACAACACTCAAACATACACACATATACACATAAATGCACACATACACACACATACACACACACACAATCACACATACACACATACATATACACATACATACCACTGTGGCAATTTAAAGGGACAGTTCGGAATTTTGGACATATGGCCTCATTTCCTAGTGATCCAGAGTGTTGGAGACGTGTGGAGACACTTTTGATAGAATAATGTTTGAAATCAAACTAATCCTTGTATCACTTGTAACATGTGAATCGTCACATGTTGAGGGACTCTTTTCTCAGCAGCAGCAGAATTTTACTTTACCAGTAAGATAGGTGCTCGGTGATATCAGTCTGCCTCTCCAAACTTTCTATCAGGAAGTACAACTCACTGCTGCTGCTCAGACATAAATCCTTCAAATGCAAGGTTGGTTTTACTTCTACAATTATTCTATCAACACAGACATTCACATGGACAGTCTGGTGTAACAATAGATTTGTTTTGGGTGTTTTGTGGAGTGGGTAAGACTGTTTTTAGTGGCAGGATAACTATGGCCATTGACATGCACTAGTCTAGCACCAGCGACCTCTGCAAATACAAGGACTGAATGGAATATTTAAAAAAGTGTCTCCACACGTCTCCAACACTCTGGATCACTAGGGCCCCGTCCACACTAGTATGTATTTGAGTCGTTTTCGTTGTGGATGCAGTGTTCGTCCACAATAATAAGAATGAAAACGGCTCCAGAGACGGAACGATCTGGTGTCGCCAGCTCCAACGAATTCATCTGAGTACGGATCTGATCTGGCACTGTGTGGACGCCTGAAAACACTGATACTCTGATGTGGGTCTCTGAAAAGTTTAACATGAACCATCTCACACGCAATAGAAGAACAGAACAGACTCACCATCAGCAGAACACCCCTCTGTCACAGAAAGAACACTCATATTCCACTGAGTCGTGTCCTTTAGTCCAACAGTAGCTGAACCGCATCAGCAGTACAATAGTGAGCTGTTTTTTTTTTTTAAACTCTTAGTTTATGCAAATGAGCCATGTGGTTTTAAGTTTCATTTCTGTAAAACGTAAACAAATATGTTCAAAGATGTGTGGATAGGGAAGACTGACGGACACAGAAACGAGTCAGTCCTCACTCTCTGAGAGCCTCCACGCTCATCTTAAAATCCAGTGTTATGCTAAGTAACAACTGAACCTTGTTGTCAGTCCACGAAAAGACAGTTTTTACACTCGCCATCTCCCTCGGCTCAAAATCAGCTGCTGCAACTTCAGACTTCCTTGTTTTTACTGCTCACGTGACGTCAGAACGCTTTGATTGCGGACAGAAGCGACGTGTCTGGACGCAGATCGTTTCTGATACGGTGATACGCCGATTCGTATTAGTGTAAACAGGGTCTAGGAAATTAGGTTCTATGTCCAAAATTCCAGACTGTGATGGTTAATTTTTGAAGAACAGTGCAGCTTTGTAACCCTCAGTCCACCTCAGTGCAGATCATAATATGTTATAACACTGTACTGAATGAAAAATGCTGTGAAGCTCTTTGGATTTCCGCGCTGTGGAAATGCTTTGTATTAGTGTGATCTATTTGTACAAGTTCTTACAGTGATGCGTGTGTGTGTTTCAGGTGAAGTGAAAGGAGGAAAAGTGTCTGGTTTTCATAACTTGGATCCAGTTTTACCTCCTGGAGAAAAGAGGACAGCTCAACTATTACAGTCACAGCTTCGACGGGCCGGTCAGTGCTCCATGTGTTATTGTTTTATATGTAGGGCTACGTGTCTCCACAGATCTGACATGTACACAGGACATCGAGCTGATTTATCTGAGTTGGTAGTGTTTGTCTTTAATATAGTTTATTGTCTCCATGGAAACAGGTAAATTTAAAGGGTTATGTATTGCACTATTTTCTTTCTTTACTTTATTTATTATTCACAAACCCAAGGAGGTCAGACTTCACATTCAACCAAACATCACCTACACACCCACACCCACTCATACTTAATACACATCCATAATGAAATAATAATAGTAATAATAATAATAATAATAGAAAAACAACAAGAAAAAACTACAAAAAAGAACATAAAAAACAAATAAAAAATAAAACTAAGTATAAGCAACTCAAACAAAAGGGCTCATACCATCTTAAAATACAGAACACAAAAAGTAAACAGTAACAATAATGATGATTTTTATTATTATAGCTCTAACACCAGTGAGCAAATATTCCATTTCCTTTTATGCACCAATAATTTCTTATTCTCCATAGTTAGATTGTACTGATTGTGAATTCTGTTTTTAAAATATTCTAGACATACTTGTTGAAGATTTAAAAATACAAATCTTTCCTAGCAAGATAACTGTATTCAGAAAAGGTGTGAATTTCCCCTGAAAAACACACAACATGATGTTTCTGGGGGAAACTTCAAAATAAATTCCCATTGACTGAACTCAAGATCAAACAGAAAGCCAAAACTTGGCAACATAAGGACAGAAAGAAAACAGGTGATACAGGTCTTCCTTTTTTTTTTACATTTAAAAGGTGATTTTTTTATACAGAATTTTTAACAATTTGAAAATTTACACTTAACATTTCAGCATCTGAATTTAAAAATAAAAATAATTCAAACATGTTATTTTTTCAGAGCTAAAAAAAAAATCAAAATGAGAAATTCAACAACATTTAAAATTCAAAATATGATGGAACGAATTACAGATCCCATTTACTAACCACCATACTGAACAGTACAGGCCAAAACTCCTTTAATCTGCACAGAGGCTATGATTTAACAAATAAAAATATAAGAAAACACTTTTATTTTGTTGTAATAAAGTTTAAATTATCAGAAAAAAGTAATTCTTTTGTGTAAATTGTGCCAAACATTTGAACAGAACTAATATGGAATAGAACTCTCTACTTCCTATCATTTGTAACATATATATTTTTTCAGTTTTTCTTCACAAATTGCTTCTTGATTGGTGTAAAACTAAAGTTTATATTTAAAATCGCAGGTATTATCTCACCAATTTAAGTCAAAATGAAAGAATCATAAAATTATTCTCATTTTAAGTCCTATTTTTTTTCTAATTTCAACACATATCCCGTCTCTCTGCTCACAGTGGCTTTCGTACCCGGACGTGCTGGGCATGCAGTTTAACTGGAATGGCTACTATAAACAGGTGGGCTCTGCTATCATCGGCTGCAGTCCTGAGTTTGACTTCGCCCTCTACAGTCTCTGCTACATCACACGTCCTGGGAAAATGTGAGTGCACCATACACACTTATCTAGATTTACCACATTTTTTGGACTATAAGTCGTATAAGTTTTTTTGGAGAAAATTATTTTATAAAATCAGTGACCAGGCACTGACATTTCATGTTGAAAGTCAAGTTCTAGTAATAACAATAGAACAGAGAACAACAGCTTAATAGGTGTCTGGTATGTTAAAGCAGCATGAACAGTTCTTCAGATAACTAGAGCATAAACAACAGAGCATAAGTTCACCAAACTCTCCATCTCACTCCAAAATCACTAAATCCACTGAATTCTTCATCCTCTGTGTCACTTCTGAGCAACTTAGAGCAACTTCAGTTGTCACTGAAGTCCAGACTTTGTCGACCCATTCACTGACTTCCAGGAAAGTTTCATGGTGCATCCTCCTGGTTGCCATGAAGCTGTGTTCTCCATCCCCACTTTTCCCCAGTTTCTCGCTCACTCCAAACTTTCTTTCTGCTGCTCAATTATTGTTTTCTGCTGTATATTTCACTATTTGCAGCAGGACAGCATTTTTTTTTTTTTTCCTACAGGAGACGTGTGCAGAAAACTGATACACAAGCCTAGAGTGCCCTCTTGTGGCTGTCATTGTGAAAATTTTAATATATAAGTTGCACCAGAGTATAAGTCACAGGAAACACCCAAACCATGAAAAAAAGTGTGACTTATAGTCTGAAAAATATGGTAAATAAATAACAGCACAACATTTGATAGGTCTTATAAAGCTGATTTTTGTCATAATCTGGTGAGTTTGAGGGTCTAGTACTGATAAAAAGTGATCAATAAGCTTCAGTATGTGTGGATTTTATTTTAATAATATAAATATAGTATTTCTCAAGAGAGTACCATGTAATCAATATGGAAAACTGTATCCCATTTTGAGTATCCTGGTGATGTGAATGTCCATGTAGACACAGTAACCTGATTTTAGTCTCCTGGATATGCCAGTAGCCCGGAGAAACCAGGATACTCTTACAATACTCAGTTTTTCTGATAGTTTCCACAGTATTCTGATTTCTCACCATGGAGCAGAGTCCTGCACCGGGTCAGGTACCCCCGAGAAATAGTCGCTGAAAACGAGCGGGTTTTAATGTTCTGGAATTTTATAGTAGTAATTACACACAGTTGGGTCAGGACTAAATCAGGACGAAACCAGGAACTACACCAGGACTAATCATGGACTTAAGAGAGAGAGAGCGAACCCCAAGCCCGTGGAGCAGAGTGTTCGCAAAGCGCGATCGGGCTAAGGTGTGCGGCGCGAAGCTCTGCTCCGGTCCTTTCACCTGTGGTCACCTGACGGACTACACAGACGTGGACCTGTCCTGACAGCGAGTCCTGGTTCAGTTCTGGTTTAGTCCTGGTTCAGTCTGTGGCGTGTTTCTTCTGCTCAGTAAATAAAGCCTGTGAAGTGATGATGTAGAGTCGTGTCTGTGAACTTGTACTTGTACTAAAGAAAGCAAAACAGTTTCATTTCATTTTGTGATTGTAACTGAAGTCGGAACTTTTCAATTCATATTCTGATGGATGCTACAGTTAGAATGATTTTAATTTGTGTGTGATTTATCTCGGGCACAGGTGGGTAACAGGTGGAATGTTAAGGAGTCCGGGCAGGTGTGGGTTTAACTTTGATAAAATCACGGGTTTAATGGGCGGGTGTGGTTCTGTACTGTGTGGGTGCGGGCGGGTGTGGGTCTCCAAAAATGGACCCGTGCAGGACTCTGCCATGGAGGTCTTACTGAGCGTGTGCGAACTGAAGTAACATTCATGGTTGGAGCCTCAATTTTCGCTAAATCTCCAAATCCATTCCATAAATGTACTCCACTTATAGCCATAATCATTTGTCCAACTGTTGTTCTTACTTTTACTTTTTTTAAACTTGAACTGATCTCTTCGTCCATAATCTCCTTGTCTCTCTTTTGAATATATTTAAAATGTTGCTTGATACATTTTTAAGATGAGGATCCCAAAAAGAATATTATAAATTGTATAAAAAATATTTTGATGTCTTGTTTAGCGGCTCATTCCTTGTGTTCCTGTGTCGTGTAGGTGTTATCTGAGTGTGGGAGGAAAGGAACTCCGGATCCAGACGTACACGTGGGACAACTCCTCCTATGGAAACGGAAAGAAGTATATCGGGTCTGCGTACCCGCCTCGCCATGAGCAGCCAATCACGAGCAGCCATACTAAACACAGAAGGAATACATACAACAATAAACATGATCTAACGCACACTGCTTCCTTTTTTTGTTTGTTTGTTTGTTTTTTCCATTTTGAGATATTTAAAGTTGCACTGCGTATCATTTCAGGTTGGGAGTTTGTTACCATGGAGATGCTATTGCTTTGCCTGTAATGTTCCATAATATGATATGAAAATTATATAAGATGCATTTACTTAATTAGTCCTGGTTTAGTTCTATTTAATGCTGGTTTAATCCTGTTTTAATTTTGGTTTAGCCCTGTTTTAATTGTTGTTTACTCCTAGTTCATTCCTGGTTTAGTCTTGGTTTAAGTCTGGTTTAGTCCATGTTTAATACTGGTTTATTCCTAGTTTAGTTCTTGTTTAGTCTTCAGATTTAGTCCTGGTTTAGTCCTTGTTTAGTCATTGTTTAGTTCTGGTTTAGTCCTGTTTTAAGACCTGGTTTAGGCCTGGTTTAATCCTGGTTTAGTCCTTGTTTATTCCTTGTTTATTCCTGGTTTAGGTCTGGTTTAGTCCATGTTTAATACTGTTTTAATCCTTGTTTAGTCCTAGTTTAGTGCTGGTTTAGTCCTGTTTTAAGACTTGGTTTAGTCCTTGTTTAGTCTTGGTTTAGTCATGGTTTAGTCTTGGAATTTAGTCCTGGTTTAGGCCTGGTTTAGTTATTATTTTGTGCTGGTTTAATTCTGGTTTAGTCCTTGTTTAGTCCTAGTTTAGTTCTGGTTAAGTCTTGGGGTTTAGTCCTGGTTTAGCTCTGCTTTAGTCATTGTTTTGTGCTGGTTTAATCCCAGTTTAGTCCTTGTTTGCTCCTAGTTTATTCCTAGTTTAGTCTTGAGGTTTAGTCCTGGTTTAGCTCTGGTTTAGTCCTGGTTAAGTCCTAGTTTAGTACTGGTTTAGTCTCAGTTTACTCCTGGTTTAGTCCTGGTTTAGGTCTGCTTGATTTTCCCAAAACCCAACTCAAATGGATAGTGTGAAGTCTTGAGTGTGACACATTCCCAGACCGAGCATGAGGAGAACAGGAGGACACCAGTCTCTCCATCTCCACTTTAAAGAGTCTGGACTTTCAAATGTCCACTGTGTGTTCCATCTCGTGGGACCCCATCAAACTCTCACGTGAAACCAAGCAGCAGAAACACCACATTTAACACCGACCCGGAGAGTGGATTTAACACAAGAGCCCATTGTCTCGCGAGTCTAACCCCAAAACCCCCAAAACCAACCAAAACTGGAGCACTTTTTGGTGGATAATCGGCGAAAACAAAACGCCGTAAACACATCTTTTTCTGCTTGACCTGCTCCAAACAGAAGCCACCAGCCAAATCTGGTTTTATTATCGCGGGCGTTTGGGACGGGGCAGCTGGGAGAGGGGGGAGGAGAGGGGGGGTGCAGGGGGAGGGGGGCGCTCATCTATCGTGACTAACAGGATAAGCCCCGGTCTGCCGACAGGACAGGGGCAGCTTAAAGACGCCTGTCACTGATCCTTTTGTGTGTGCGGTGTATTCAAGCAGAGCAGCACGGGAGAGGACAGGAGCACATACGAGCAGGCAGGGGCAGGCAGGGGCAGGCAGGGGCAGATACGAGCAGGCAGGAGCAGACAGGAGCACAGCCACAGGAGCAGACAGGGGTAAAGTAGCCAAAAATTTTACTCAAGTAAGAGTCACGTTATTTCAAAATAATATTACAAGTAGAAGGAAAAAGTAGTTGCAAGAAATGACTCAAGTAAAAAAAAAGTATTTGGGAAAAGTACTCCACAAATAAGAGTGGCAGGACGTAACATATTATTTCTAATTTGAAGTGTGATAGAAGGATAAAACATGGAGTAAAACACAAAATGTGGTATTTTCAAGGAATAGACAGAAATATGTATTTGTACACTTACTGACAGTGAGAAGAGTAACCACAACATTTACTCAAGTAAGAGTACTGTTACTTCACTAAACTTATTATTCAAGTTTGAGTAAAAGTATGCTGTAAGAAAAATACTCTGATATGTTCAATTTCTTTAAAAAGTTACTCAAGTAAATGTAACTGCTCTGACAGGAGCAGACAGGAGCAGACAGGGGCAGGGCTCTGTGAACAGAAATGAAGAACAAACTTTATTCATAACAATATTTATAAAGACAGAAGAGTGTGTGTGTGTGTGTGTGTGTGTAGTGTTGTGTGTGTGTATATTGTTGTGTGTGAAGGTGTGTGTGTGTCTGTGTGTGTGTGTAGTGTTGTGTATGTGTGTGTGTGTGTGTGTGTGTAGTGTTGTGTGTGTGTGTGTGTGTTGTGTGTGAAGGTGTGTGTGTGTCTGTGTGTGTGTGTAGTGTTGTGTATGTGTGTGAAGTACTGTGTGTGTGTAGTGTTGTGTGTGTGTGTAGTGTTGTGTGTTGGTGTGTGTGTGTGTGTAGTGTTGTATGTGTGTGTAGTGTTGTGTTTATGTAGTGTTGTGTGTGTATGGTGTATCACACTTGTGTGTAGTGTTTTTTGTGTGTCTGTGTGTAGTGTTGTGTGTGTTGTGTAGTATTTTGTGTGTGTCTCTGTGTGTGTGTGTGTGTGTGTGTGTGTGTTGTGTATCACACTCGTGTGTGTAGTGAGATTGGTGAGTGTGTGAGTAAAAGTCTAACCTGTGTTTCCCTCACAAATGTAATAACTCCTTTGTACTTTTGTACAAAACGTGCTCTTATTACAAACACACACACGTTTTCTGCTGCACTTTTGTGGTGAAAATGAGAAGAGTAAATCTTGTGCCTTCAGCGCTGCTCTTTTTAAACCCCAAACTGAATCAAATTAAAGCTCAAATAAAAGAAAAAGGACCATTTGTGTCTTTTGTGTGACACAACTTCATAATGAAATTATGGCGGGCCTGGGTCCAGCGCCGCACACATGCACACACACACACACACACACACACACACAACACACACACTCCGAGCACCACCTGACTTTTGTTTTCTAATTATATTAGGCTCTCCCTTTAGCGTGCTATGCTAATGGAAGCTAGTCCAGCTGCACATGCAGAAACAAAGCTGCTTATGGAGCTGCTTATGGACACACAATGGCCCCATAAAGACGCACACCGGGGGGCGCCGCTGCTCTCAGCACCACTCTGGGGCAGGGCTCAGGGGCAGCCACAACATACACACAACTTACACACAACATACACACAACATATACACAACATACACACAACATACACATGACATACACATGACATATACACGACATACACACGACATACACACAACATATACACAACATATACACAACATACACACATACACACACGACATACACACAACATATACACAACATACACACGACATACACACATACACACGACATACACACAACATACACACAACATATACACAACATACACACGACATACACACGACATACACACGACATACACACGACATACACACAACATACACACAACATACACACGACATACACACGACATACACACGACATACACACAACATATACACAACATACACACAACATACACACGACATACACACGACATACACACGACATACACACAACATATACACAACATACACACGACATACACACAACATACACACAACATATACACAACATACACACGACATACACACGACATACACAACATACACACAACATACACACAACACATACACACACATACACACGACATACACAACATACACACATACACACACGACATACACACAACATATACACAACATACACACATACACGACATACACACGACATACACACGACATATACACACGACATACACACGACATACACACAACATACACACGACATACACACGACATATACACGACATACACACGACATACACACGACATACACACGACATACACACGACATACACACACGACATACACACGACATACACACAACATACATACACACATATACACGACATACACACGACATACACACGACATACACACGACATACACACGACATACACACACGACATACACACAACATACACACGACATACACACGACATACACACGACATACACACGACATACACACGACATACACACAACATATACACACGACATACACACGACATACACACAATACACATACACACGACATACACACGACATACACATACACACGACATACACACACATACACAACATACACACACATACACGACATACACACGACATACACACGACATACACACATACACACGACATATACACAACATACACACGACATAACACATATACACAATACACAACATATACACAACATACACACGACATACACACGACATACACACAACATATACACACAACATACACACGACATATACACGACATACACACGACATACACACGACATACACACAACATACACACAACATATACACGACATACACACAACATACACACGACATATACACAACATATACACAACATACACACGACATACACACGACATACACACGACATACACACGACATACACACAACACATACACACGACACACACGACATACACACAACATATACACGACATACACACGACATACACACGACATACACACGACATACACACAACATATACACAACATACACACACATACACACCACACGACATACACACAACATACACACATACACACACATACACACGACATACACACGACATACACACGACATACACACGACATATACACGACATACACACGACATATACACGACATACACACAACATACACATGACATATACACAACATATACACAACATACACATGACATATATATACATATACAGGCGATATACAGGAAGTGCTCCACTATGTTTTTAAACTCCACACACCTTCACTAAAATCATTTGGATCATTTATCATTTCAGCCTTGGAAATGACAATCTGAACTGAACTGAGGTAAAAGACAGGACTTGAAAGCTACCACTTGATGACATCACAAAGTGGAACAGACCATTTTGAGAAAACAGTGTAATATGGGCCCTCTGACTCACAGAGTGGGGATTGGTGTATGGGTGTACGGGTGAGGAGGGGGGTTGGGTTAGTGTTTGGGTCCAGAGGTCTCACCCCTCTGTGCAGCCCCACACCCAGGACCTGCAGGGTGACCACGGCTTTGGAGGAGCCTAAAGCTGATGTGTGACCATGAAACTGAGAGGAACAGTCATTCTGCCCCTGCACACACACACAAACACACATACACATGCACACACGCACACACACACACACACACACACACCACAGACCAGATGTGAGGTACCAGCACACGCTTCTATCTGACAACTATGACAGCACAACACAAGAGTTAACCAGGAGGCCTCAGGATCAATGGGCTTTATGCACATGTGTGTTTGTGACGTATGGACTTATCACACACACTGTGTCTAAAGGAGATGATAGCAGCTCAAAACTCTGAACAACACCAACACTGGACTTAACACTCACCTGCTCAAATGTGTGTTTATTTTTCTTCTTAAAGTTCAATACAGTATACAATCTTCATAAGTCTAAATAAATGTAAAAACCTGTTATAATGGTGTTTCATCTTTACTTTACCAACAGTTGTGTTTAGACTAATTCATGCCTGTTTGAATACTGCTGGATTGTTGTGTGTTTGTGGTCACAGATACTGTGTATCTCTGCACACGTCTCCATTTGTGAATCCATGGAGCAAATGTAGCTGTAGTATGGCAGTGTGCCATTAAACAGCACATGTACAGGCAGGTGACACCATCAGGCCAGGTGACACCATCAGGCCAGGTGACACATCAGATCTGCGGAGCAGTGAGTGCACCCACACTAACAATGCATGTTTTTCAAGGTATTTTTGAACAATAAAAACTGCCCATCAGAAAAGTTCCATAGACAGTATAAAGTTGTATTGAAAGTGGATATGTGGAGAGTGGATAATTTTTCTGACACAGTTCGAGGTCAGGCTGGTCTCATGAGAACTGGACTGTGACAGATGGAGAAAGTTTCCTCAGTCTGAGCAGAGCTCAGGGACTGGACCAGGTCTGTGTCCAGTCTCCCTGACCCTCCAGACCTTCTGCATACTCAGTGTGTTTGTGCGTGTGATCACTGGGAGAACACGGGAGAGTCCAGAACATGTGATTCAGAGGAGAACAGACTCAAAATGAACCATCTGAGGTGCACAGGAGCAGAGACGTTAACACCATCTGTACACACATTTACATTCAAATATTGTATGGTAAAGGTGGAAGCTCTGTTTCCTCTTTGTCTCTCTTGCTTTGCTTGGAATTTTCCACAATACATCATCAAACATATTGCATTTATTCAATCACAATGCAATTTGACAATTTTTTACTTTTGAAGAGTTTTAACAGTCAAATTTGAGTCTAGGATAGTATCAGCTCTCCTCAGAACAATGTGGAAACAACAGGAAAACTGCTCTAATAATGAAAACTAGTCCAAACATGAGACATTCTGAAGTTATTTGAACAGTGCAGAGCCTCAGATTTACAGTAGAGTCCCCAGTGTTTGGACCCAGGTCAGAGTGAGCGCTCTGTCCCAGTGAAGGGTGCAGGTGTGTGGACAGACACACAGACGCTCAGGGAGAAGCAAAGAGATGCCCCAGACCTCCAGACACAAGTGTGGAGTCAAACAGGCTCACAACAAACTACACACACTATACTCTGAGCTTTGTCTATACTTTCAGATTCACAATTAGAACTTTATTCATACCAAACAGGAAATGTGGTTCGTCTTAATGATTTGAAGCCTTTATAACAAAATTATATTTGAGATTCACAAAAAGAAGTATCTCTGATACGTTTTCATTTTGGTAAAACCCTTTTTGTTTGTTTGTTTGTTTCATTATTTTGTGGTATTCTGTGGTATTAATCACAGTTCCTCTACTTCACTTTTGCCTCAACTTGTCCAGTTTCTCTCTTTTAAAGGTCTGTGCTTAGAAGGATTCTAAAACTTTTCGTTCCTAGCATAACATCTCCAAAATGTTGTATTGAACTTATTCTTTTTTGGAGCATTTATTGGATGTCATTCAATAGCAACAACTAAAGGGTTAAAATTTCAGGGTAAACTATTTCAGAGCTGTTTATCTATTTGAAATTTAAATAGGGGATGGAGTTGGGATTATTTGCCAGAGTTGTTATGGTTAAAGTAAATTCATCTTCCCCTAGTATTAATTCATCTTCCCCTAGTGTTAATTCAACTTCCTTTAGTGTTAATTTGGCTCCTCCCACCACCACTTCAAACTCCCGTGAAAGAAGATCAGTTTGAACCAGTTTTGTACATCATTTCAGCTTAAATTAACTCAAATAAAGTGTAAACATAAAACCCCTCTGTGTGTTGTTTAGGCAAATCAGGATAACCCTACAAAGTGTTATCCATTTACTCTCAAAACATTAATATAACTCTTGATTTATAGGTATTAACAGGAAATTTCCAGTATTAACATTTCCAAAAATATTAAATTAACTCTAGAACAGATTGGACTCATATATATATCAAAATGTTCAAACTGATTCCGAGAGTCAGTTTTAACACTTTTTGCGGTGTTATTGGTCATCATATTTCTTCAGTGAGTTTGTGTTCACTTCAGCAGATCGTTCTTGTTTCTGAAGTTCAAAACTCCACAATAAAAGAGTGAAGTCCAAACCAAAACCAAACTGTGAATGAGCTCATGTGTCTGCGGGGCCGGGCGCAAACACCTGCTCGTGCCCGGCTCTGGCCTGTCACTTCGGGTTAGGCTCAGAGCCCCCCCCCCCGTGACCCCCTCTCCCTCCCTCACCCCCGCGTCCCCCCCGTGCACCCCCCCTCCCACACGCGATGCACCACGAGCCACGGGCCGGCCACGCGCGAGCCCCCCGCACCGCCGTCGTCCCGCGCGGGCGTCGTGTGTGTGTGTCGCCGCGAGGGGGGAGGAGCTTACGGCGCCGGGGTTAAAAAGCCCAACCGAGTCAAACGCGCTGACGCAGCTCCGAGAGGGACACCCCGACGCACCGCACGCTTCATGGACGTCAACTAAAGATTCCTGTCAACTTTAAGACTTCAACGTATTCACAACGGTACGCCCAATTTTTATTACGTCCTTTTTTTTTTTTTTTTTTTTTTAGCGCTAATCTTTTTCATTCCTAGAAACTAGAACAGCTTAACTATTTTGAATTTTTTGAGAGAAAAACGGCACAACAATTCAACATTAGATATCCATTTTAAATAATCAGTTCTACTTAAAACTGTAGAAAACACGTGCATTTGTCTCAATTGTACGGTGCGCCATTTGAGCCAAAGTTGTGGCTTTGACCTACTTTTACGCAGCTGACTTTTACACCTGCTCCTACTGATTCCAACGCCTAAACAGCTAAATAATAACGTCAGAGTTGTTCAGTTTTGTAACATTATACTTGTTTTAGTTTAGTTGAAAATATAATCTAATATATCCTACGTAACGTTGAGTACTCGGCTACTTTTGCGAATCAAACCTTTGTCGTCCTTTTTAATAAACACAGTCTACACTTTTATTTGTGGATTTCAGTTGTTCGTTACATGGCGCCATTTTGAGGACCATTCAGGAGATTTAGTTTTGAATTATTATTTGCTAAAACAACGAGCCTAACTTTTCGAATTCTGAAACGTACAGCGGCTTTTACCGAACGATTCTTGTGCGTAATAGCGTCTAGAGGCAACCAATGAACGTTTTTTTTTCTTCTTCTAGCTTCTTCTTCTACTTTTTTTTTTTTTTTTTCCAATTTAATCCACGTAACCGACCACCGCGCGCTGATCTGGGGAAGCGATCTTTGGTTTAATCCCGAGGCCGGCGCTTCATCCACAAATCCCGCGTTGTCCCAGATTGAGAGGCGGACAGCGCTTTAGCTCACTGGGGCATTACTGGTACTGGATTATCGTAAAGACGAAATAAAACAACACGGAATCATGACAGATATACAGGCTTACATCCCAGGTTATTCTGAGTTCCGGAGTTTTGTCTGAGTTTTGACAGAGGGAGACTTGTGGATCACCTGGAACTGTCCAGTGCTGAAAAGGTGACTCTTTGTAATTGGATTAGTTCAATGACCTACTGAACGAGTTCGAGCTCTTTTTCCAAACAATTCAAGTTACAATCACAAACAAATGATTATTCCAAAATAAGTACAGATGTTTTCTCAGTCAAGCGAGTCCAAAAATAAAATGAAGGTTGAAAATTTTGAATTTATTCTTTAAAGTTCAGATGATGAGAGGATGTTGACATTGACTCCTCCTTCTAAACAAGACCCTACTGAGTACAGACACAGGGATAACATGCAAATCTACATAGAAATTTGATAACACAGTGGAATTGTTGTTAGCGCTCCTTCTTCATAACAAGTAGGTCCCTGGTTTGATTCCCCAGGGGAGACGTTTTGTGGTGTTTTATCCCTGTGGTTTAGTCCTGGTTTAATCCTCACGTAGACTCGGTTTGGTCCTGTTTTAGTCCTGATTGAGCCCTGATCTAGTCCAATTTTGGTTCCAAGTTTGAACCCAGTTTTTGTTGCAATTTTGATTCGATGCTTTTGTTAAATGTCAAATAAAATAGTAAGAGATGTTGTCAGCTTTATAGAAGTTAGATATACTGTAGTGGCACTGCATAATAACAGGGATTTTATTTGATTAAAACAATGACATAGCAACATTTTTTTTTAAATCCAATTAGGCACATTGTTGGATGAAAACCATTTGGAAGCAACTGCTTGGGGTCACTCCAAACGTGTTTATTTATGTTTATTAAGGACATCACAATTGCATTAGACAAGACAAATGCATTGCTTTGAGAGTTTTCAAGTTTTCAACACATATCCATATAAAAATATATAAACTAAATGCATAAACACCGACAAGACACATATGTTATGCACAGATAAGATATACACAGTACATTTTCAGTGAGGGCATTTTTGATTGGAAACATACAATCATTTTAATTTAAATTTGTTGCTATTGGTGTCCAATTTGAAATCAGCTGGTTGCAGATCTAGAGACTGACGCAGAGTCCTGTGCACTGGGACAACACAATTACCACTAGTAGCAGCTCTTGTATCACTCTGTTATGGTCCTGGCAAATTCTGAATCAGTGATAAATCAAAGTTTAGACACTTAAAAACTAATTTAAGATTATTAAAATTTGTAAAATGGTCCTAAAGTTAAATTGGTTATATTTCACAGTGGTGCCAGTGTCTGAGCTTTTTGTCAAGAATCTTAAGGGTCAGTTTGTAAAATGAACAGAGAGGTTTCATTGTGGTTGAGGAGGCCTGAGAAATGAAGAGTTAAATTTCACAAACAGATATTTCGACATATTATCATGAAAGTAATGTAGGTAAGTAGAGTGGTTTTGATGGTGTGGTGATAGTTTGATTGCGGTAAAATACATCTGACTTTTGAAAATGTTGCTATCCAAAGTGTATGTGTTGTGGTCCAAGACAAGAAAAATATCTGATGAAGGCTTTTTTTGCCGAAACCTTATTTTGTTAATAAAAAAAGCATTTGGACATCAGCCAACCGAGTGTGCTATGCATATTTTCACCCTGGGCTATCCAAAGTGTAAACTGCAAGCGGCCGATTACTTAAATTTTTTAACATTTAATGGCACTCAGCTGTTCTATATAAATGTAAGTGTTTGTTATGGTACAACATGAGAAGAGGTGATGGACTAACACTTTTTTGTACTTTCAGATCATGATGATAAAGCCGTACGCCCGTCCAGGAGCTGAGGAGGAGGAGGTGCCCAGCCCTGTGCAGTGGATGGACCGAGCCGACTCCACCAGCTCCCCCGACGACCACCCCAACTCCGCCCACAACTTCACCCCTCCCCTCCTGTCCGAGCACCCCCACGAGGCCTGCAGCGAGGAAGACGAAGCCGAAGACGAAGGCCACGACGACGGCTGCAAACGGCGCGGACCCAAGAAAAAACGCGTCACCAAAGCGAGACAGGAGCGATTCCGGGCGCGCAGGATCAAAGCCAACGCCAGGGAGAGGTCTCGAATGCACGGGCTGAACGACGCGCTGGAGAACCTGCGCAGCATCATGCCGTGCCACTCCAAAACCCAAAAACTCTCCAAGATCGAGACGCTACGGTTGGCGCGCAATTACATCTGCGCCCTGTCGGAGGCGCTAGAGGGGGGCGTGTCCATGCAGAGTAGAGCGTTCCTGGATACGCTGTGTAAAGGCCTATCGCAACCCACGTCGAATCTGGTGTCCGGGTGTCTTCAGCTCGGACCGAAACAAGAGGAAAGACAGATCGCGTCAATGGGTTACGCTTCTACCGGGTTACCAAGTCCGCCGTATGGGACATTTGACTCCGCCCACCTGCTCCACCTGAGATCCATTAAGGCCAACCTGTACGACGGGCATTCGACAGGTGTGGGCACGCCTCCTTACGAAGCCCCGCCCACTCCTCCTCTTAGCATCAGCAGTAACATGGTACCGAAGCAAGACACCTCTCCGTCGTACATGAACCCGCACCACTATTCTCCATCCGAGCCGAACCAGGGCCTGTACCAGACTCCGTACGAGGGCCAGATGGAAGGGCAGTACGAGTCGTATCACGTGGGGCCCCGACACGTGAGCGCCATCTACAGGGACTGACAGGTTCATTCATAAAGCACACTGACTGACACTTTCGATGCAAGAGGAAAGGACTGAAGAGGACTGAAGCTGGCAAAAACAACTTTACCATAAAAGGATTGGGCAATAGCTTGAAACTGAGCAGGGCAAAATGGGTCACATTTTAGAATTTTAGAAGTCATAATTTCAGATGAAGGACAGAGGTTTGTGTTTTTAAAAAGTCTTAAAGTCTTTCCAACTGACAACAATCACGTCTTTGTGGTTGAAAAATGGCACCACTTTCTGAAGCTACTGTGAAAAAGCAATTTCATTTGTTGATTTATACTGAGAGGGAAGACGTCGAACTTTGTGCCAGTTTTTGTTTCATGTGGATAGGCCGAGTAATTACAAAGATATGAACCGTAAACCAGGTCAACAAATCTGCAAAGTTACAGCAAACTCCAGAAATTTGTTAATCTTTTAATTTCTCTGTAATTACCAGGCCTATCCACATGAAACAAAAACTAGCATGAAGATTTTCTCTGTCAAATTCTTTTCTCCATGGAGATGTTATTTCTGTGTCTGGAATGTTTCACAGTATAGTACTAAACATTTCTATCTTCATGGAAACCAAACCAAATCAAGTTACAGGAGTGTTTGTTTTTCTAGCTGTTTTTGAGCTGTAAAGCCACCTGTAATTGAATAAATGTAAGGTAAAGCTGTTTAATGTCATACTGTGGAACATTCCAGGCAGTGCACTGACATCTCCAGTATAGGCTTCTCCCTCCGTCTGAAATTACGACATCGACTTCTCCAATGCTCAAAATTCAGCCTACTGCCCAAGTGTTTCTCTGTCTCTGAACATGTAAAAGTGAATACCAAATAGTGAAGAAGGAGCAAGGTTTGGTCAGTTTTCTCTATAACTTTGGCTCAACTGTTGATATATTTAAACAAGCAGTTCTTTTAAAATATTTAAATGTCCTGTACCAGATTTTTTCTCTCTTAAAAATGAGAAAAACGGAACTGGTTTGCAGGGGTCTACAGTTCTCCCTCGCTTACCTTATGCATTCAGAGCATCCTAATTATTCAACACAACTTCTCACAACTTTCAGAGACCGGAGCATAGTGCGTGGTCATGGTAATGCTAACAACTATCATGCTAACCACACACTTCCTGATTCCCAGACAACAAAAAAACAAAACACTTTTATAACTGGACGCAGGCAGAACACATGAATCTTGTTTTGAGAGTTTTTGAAAGTCATCCAGGTAATGTTGACAGCAACTAGCATGCTGACCACACACTTGATGAATAGAGTTGACATCCATGTAACGCTAACGGCAGCTCGCATGCGAACTGTGCACTTCCTGATTCTCGGACAACAAAACATTTTTATAACTCAAAGCAGGCAGGACACATGAATCTTGTTTTGAGAGTTTTGACGTCCAGGTAACGCTGACAACAACTAGTATGCTAACCGCACACTTGATGAATAGAGTTTTGACGTCCACGTAATGCTAACAAGAACTAGCATGCTACCCGCGCACTTCCCGGACAACATAACGCTTTGTAACTGGACACAGACAGATCACATAAATCTTGTTTTGAGAGTTTTGACGTCTAGGTAACGCAACAACTAGCATACTAACCGTGCACTTCCTGATTTCCAAAAAGCCAAAGTTCTTGAGAAACTGTGACCACGTTGAATACCACTGAGCAGCACTTGTAGCATCTTATATTTGAACTGTAATTTACCTATTTAACTTATTCTCTTATTTAATTCAGAAATTATTTTTGTTCACACAGGCAGCTCTGTTTGTCTTTCTTATGTTTGTTGTTTAGGATTTGTGAGTTCATTTTGTTGTTGTTCTGTTTTGTTGTGTTCATTTTACAGTTTTGCACTTAAGTCCAGAAGTAGAAATGGTAGCGAAATGTAGCTCAAATGTCATTCTCAGGTATTAGAATTTGAATTTTGTTGAATATTTAAAGTATTTTTGGTTTGTAAACTGATAAAGGATGATCCCTAACCTTTGCGTAGCTTGTGTTGGATTCTCTGGCCTCTCTAATCTCTGCAGACATATTAAATGAAAGAGTCGGTGAGTAAAGAAGATAAAGGAGTTCTAATCCATGTCCTTGGATGCACTCTGGCAAAAGCTTAACTCATAAACAAAACTCAGTCTCACCATTCTACAGAGATCTACATGCATGTGCAGCACTACCAGGGCTCTCAAATGTCCCATATTACACAACATTTAAACTACAAACCATGTTAGAATGTTGTTCTCTCCTCAAAAACAGATCCGGAGTTGTGTTTTGTTTCATTCACACATAGTCTGTCTACATCTCCAAAGCTCAAAATGCTCTGTGACGTGATGTTATGCAGTGATAGTTTTCAAGTTAACTTATTTTCACCTTTAGTTCAGTAGAATTCATTAGTTTCTGGCCTGAAATTACCCACATGATTCTAGTAAAGGTGTGTTTAGTTTATAAACACAGTGGAACACTTCCTGTATTACCACATGACCTGGAGGAAGACAAGGTGGAACAGAGAGTTTTCAGCTTGAGAGAACATGCAGGGTTTGTGTGTTAAACATGTGTGAGTGAAACAAAACACAAGTTTGTGATAAGGAAACGACATTAGAACAGATCAGAAAATAATGTCATATGGATGTTTTAAATCAAACCTGGGCATTGTGCAGCTTCAGGGCCACATACGACCCTTTGGTCGACTCTGATCGGCCCCTTTAAGATAATCTGGAATTACAAAATAAACATATTGGATGATTTGATCTCATGCACGGACTAAAGTTGCATTACTTTTATTTTAGAGGTGTTTTTTTTTTTTTTTTAATGAGGCAACCTCACTTTTTCATTACTTAGTCAAACATGAATTCTTCCCAGTCTGAGCAGCTCATCAAAACTATGATATTTATGATTTTTTTTTTTTTTTTTTTTTTTTTTTTAATAAAGAAATACAATTAATTTTAAGCAGAATTAAGTTAAGCACACACAATATTTTGTGTCTCCTCCCCCCTGTGTCCTGTGCTCAAAACAGATTCAACAATCACATCTGAGCCTGTGTTTCCAGAGTCTTCACCTGCAGATAGAGACACATCCTGCTGTTGTCTCATTCTCAATAAATGTTCAGGCCTCATGTGAAGCTCAGAACCTCCAGTTCCCTCCCTGAGCTGCAGAGGCTGCACTAGCACTGACTCAGGACTGGTGCACGTGCTGGGGTTTAGAGAGTGGCATTCAAATCAGGCTAGATAATAACAAAACATCTTGGCCATTTTGGATTATTGATTATCATTTCAGTCATGGCATTTAAAGGTGTTTGGTATTTTACACTGTTTCCAGCTGAAGGATTTTAACAAGATATATTTATTAATATTTGGTGTCTAGGACGCTTTTGACAATTCTCTAACTTTTCTTCTTATTCTTATTCTTATTCTTATTCTTACTCTTACTTTGGTGGGATAATACCTGTTAATAAATTACAGTTTAAAACCAATGAAGAAGCAGTTTGTGAAGAAAAGTTGAAAAATATGTTGATAATGACAGGAAGTACACAGTTCTATTTTAGGGAGTCCAACTGTGACTGATGTCACACTGGGAGAATTCTATCCAAAAGTTTTGGACAAAAGATAAAACATTTTCTGATACTTTATTTCAACAAAATAAAGATGTTTTCGTATAATTTACTAATGTAATTACTTGTCCAGTAATTATTTCTTTGTACTTTAGGGGATGTTTGTCCCAGTGTACTACATGGTTGCTCGGTAACAGTTTTGGAATTCTCTAGTGTGACATCAGGATTTCCAACCAGGAATTCAAATTTTGAAAGCTAAAAAATGACCAAACCAGACCAAAGATACCAGCCCCTGCCCACATCTGAAATGATCAATTACTTTCCATCACTGATGTTGTGACTTAACAAAACCTCACGAAAAACAATAAACAAATGTGTTTATGACATTCATGAAGACCTCTGAAGATCACCATCAAGAGCACTGACACTTTAAGAACACAGGCTTTTCAAAGGATTTTAGAGGAATACAACATTTTAATTGATTATAATGTAATTGTAATGTGGAACATTTCCAGCAGAGCAGTAACATCTCCATGGAGATGAGTATGGTATAGCTTCTGTAAGCACTGTGTATCTAACAGAAAAGTTACATGGTGGATCTTTAAGTTCATGAACATGGTTTAGATTGTTCCGTCTCCAAAGCTGACGATCCATCACTAACCCACAGCATGAGTTCTGTTCACTTCCAGGTCACGTCTTTACAGCAGAGTTGGGACGCGGCCGCACTTGTCCAAGTCTGTGTGCAGAGGTCAAAGGTCAAACGGGGTCAGTGCTGCCGGGTCTTTTGTTTGACTTGGATCTGAAGAGCCTTTTTCAAATGTAAATCTTAAACTTCAGTGAGAAGTCAGCTCAATGTTTATGTATAGAAAAAAACTCCTCTGCAGACAAACGTCTAAAAAGTCTCACATTAACCACAGGGATCAGGGGTGTCTAAACTATTGAAAATCTAGATACTCATTTTTCCCAGGTATTGATACTAATAAAGTCCCATTGACAGGACAGAAACAAACCTTTCTGAATGATGTAGAGCTGCACCACTGACCATTACACATATATAACACACGGAATAGAAAAAGTTCTACCATTTAATGTTGAAAATCACATCCTATTCTCTAAGAGTTTATTTGTAAATGATCATTTTGCTATCAGAGTCACTATTTCAAATACTGAATCTATTTTTTATTTTTTTTTAACCAGCGTTTGAAATGTTAGTATCGTGACAACACTACATCAAACAAAGTAATAATGAGGAAAAACATAAAAACCTATCTTATGCACTTTAAAGTAACACTGTGTAACTTTCTAGAGGTGGTACATCACGTGTATGATTCCATGGAAACACAAAATTAAAACCCAAATTCAGGTCATTCTCCACTGTGACTGATTTCGTGTGATACTATGGACGGAACGTTTCTATGGAGACAAGCAGGAGCAGCCCCCCAGGACAAAAAAGAGTCAGGTTTGTGGAGATGCAAGCTCACTCACAGTAAGGACACATGTTTTCGACAATTTAAAAAAACTGAATTTAAAAACTGATTTTATTATATCCCATAGTCTAGTTAAACTGTGGGACATTAACATTCAAAAGGCCTCACTTGGTAGATTTACAGACTCTGATTTGACAAAAAAAAAAAAAAAAAAAAAAAAAAAGAAACTGAAAAAGCCAGTATTTATTTTGTGTACCTTCAATCTCAGTATTTGTGGGTTTTCTGTTTAGATATTTCTTTCAAAAACACCAAATAGTAAAGATTGTACAGTATCTTTCCAACCGTGTTTGGTGTTTTTTTAAGTTTCAACTTTGCTCCACAGGCTCAGACAATAATCCCCTGAAAACAGTGGCATATATTGTGTGTGCTGCAGGTTAATGAGGGTTCGGATTAAGGACAGTGCATCGTTCATAATGACAGACTTAATGCTCCTATATTACACTAAAGTGACTCTTGTGAGCTTTAAGCCATGTTCTAATGCTGTTACTGTCTGTGGGGAAGCTGACCAATGCAGGCTCAAGCAGGAGGCACACTCACAAAATGTTCCATTTCACCAAAAAAATGTATTCATAAGTTCACTGTGGTATCGTGACAAAAAGGAATAATACATATTTACAAAAAATAACTGTTCAAATCAAGCAAAAGCCTAAACCAAGTCCCCTTTACTTTAAAGCACTTAACATAAACTATAAACAATGAAACAGCTCAATCATACCAACTTTATTTATAAAACACTTTAAAAACTTTACAGCTGGTCAAAGTGCTGTACACAAACACAGGACAGACAAGGACAATCTCACAACACACATGATACACAAAACACAATACAACTACTAAAAAACAGAGAAAATATTAAGAGACTCAACAACAAGAAAAGTACATGTCACTTGTTAAAAGTCAGTGAAAAAAGTTACGTTTTTAGAAGTGATTTAAAACCAGGTACAGACTCGGCCTGTCCAATCTCTAAAGACGACTGGTTCCACAGCCGAGGGGCAGAAACACAAAACACACAGGCCCCACAAAGCTCAAGTTTAGTCTTTGGGACAGCGAGCTGGAGCTGGTCTGCTGACCTCAGATTGCAAGTTAGGGTGGGTCAGGTCAGTGAGGCAAGAGGGCGCTAGGCCATGCAAACACTTAAAAGTAAATAAAATAATTTTTTAAACTGACTCTAAAGCACACTGGGAGCCAAACGAGAGAAGATAAAATAGGTGAGATCCTCTGGTGTTTTCCATGTTCCAGTTAAAAGTCTCTGAGTTTGAAGACCCGTTGCAAACAACAAAGTGCATTTTGGATGACACCAACATAAAGGGCATTACCATAATGCAATCGAGTTTGTCACAAATGCATGTATGACAGTTTTAAAGTATTCTGTTGATAAAATGGGCTTAATTTTGGGCAGTTTTCTTAGCTGTAAAAAAAAAAAAAAAAACCCTAGGCTTTACAACAGCACTGATTTGCTGATCAAACTTTACATCAGGGTCCATTTTGACACCTAAATTTGAAACAACTGACTTCACTAAATGATTTTATGAACTCACGTCCACAGGAAAAGAAGAATTTGAACAGCTTGGGCCAAAAACCATAACATCAGATTATTCCTGATATTGTGCAGAAAGTTACATGACATCCAAGATATGATGTCACTGATCAGTCTGAAAGTGTCTGGCAGCCTGTGGATCCTGTTTCTGTAATGGCAGAAAGATCCAAATGTCATCAAATAAATCAAATCAAATCAAATAATCAAATATACAAAATCCATAAAACAAAAACAACTGAAACCAATACTCCCCTCCAAACGGTCTGTCCCAAAAAAAAAAAAAAAAAAAAAAGAGGTTATAATGTACAAATAATTAAAATAGATTTAACCAAATAAAA